TATTTTAACTTTTTTTCTCAAAACACAATGCCTTTATTCTTAAAATTTAACGAGTTTATTCTCAACATTTTATTTTGACTTTTTTCTTGAAATTTAACAAATTTATTCTCAACATTTTATTTTAACTTTTTTTCTCAAAACACAATGCCTTTATTCTTAAAATTTAACGAGTTTATTCTCAACATTTTATTTTGACTTTTTTCTCGAAATTTAACGAGTTTATTCTCATTATATTTGGACTTTTTTCTTGAAATTTAACGAATTTATTTTCAACATTTTATTTTAACTTTTTTTCTCAAAACACTGCCTTTATTCTTAAAATTTAACGAGTTTATTCTCAACATTTTAACTTTTTTCTTTAAATTTAACAAGTTTATTCTCAACATTTTATTTTAACTTTTTTTCTCAAAACACTGCCTTTTTTCTTGAAATTTAATGAGTTTATTCTCAACATTTTATTTGGACTTTTTTCTCGAAATTTAACGAGTTTATTCTCAACATTTTATTTGGACTTTTTTCTCAAAACTGAATTTTTTTCTGAAAACACAATGTTTTTATTCTCGAAATGTATTGAGTTTATTCTAAGTTTATTTATTTGAGTTTTATTCTAAACATTTTATTTAAAAAAATTTCTTGAAATTTATTGAGTTTAATCTTGCATTATAACCACTTCAATCTCAAGATGGTTTTATTTATTTTTTTAATTGTTTGGCCCTTATCCTCTTTCGTAGACATGATATGGAAGCAAAACAGACCAAAATCACAGAGTTGCCCAGTGCACGTAAACAGTTTTTGCGTTTAGTGTCTGTATGAAATCCTGACCTTCATGTCAAACATTCATCACGCAGAAGCATCTCAGTGTCACGTGACACAAACGTGTCGAGGCGTGAACGTACCACTTCCGGGTCGTCTTCCTCCACCTCTGTGGGCTTCCCGTCCTTCTTGAGCTGCTTCTTCTGCTGGCTCATCTGTGAGAGGTCAGAGGTCAGTCTGGTGTTTAGAGCAGAGAAACACATGTGTGTCTGGAGATCACCAGCGGCTCACCATGTGCTCCACGTATTCCTTCCCCGCGTGGATCACATCCAGCGCCTTCTTCTTATGCTCCGGCTCCAGCAGCATCTTATAGGCCTTATCGACTGCTGTGCACACACACACACACACACACACGCTCAGCATCACACACTCAGGACGCTCTAACACCAGCATGAGCTGCAGAGACGCTGCGGTTTACCTTCGAAGGCCTGCTGGGCTCGATCCACATCGTCCTGGTTCTTGTCTGGATGGACGAGGATGGACAGCTGAGGACAGAGAGAGAGACGGGCGTGAGACACTGAGACTCTCTGAGAAACACACACTCACAGAGAGATGAAGATCTACCTGTCTGAAACGCTTCTTCAGCTCCTCGTCTGTGGCTTCAGGATCGATCTGAAGAACCTGCGGCGATCACACACACACACACAGACAGACACAGACACAGACACACACACACTCACAGACACACACACACACACACACACACACACACACACACACACACACACACACACACACACACACGCACACACGCAGGTCAAACAACAGCATGGATATTAGTGATTCCAGTGCAGGATATTTGTCAGCGATGCTCAGTTTCTGTGATCTTTATCATTAGATCTTCACATCTTTCCCTTTCTTTAAACAAAACCAGTGCTTGAAAACAGTGGATTGATTATTATTCTCTCAACAATAAAACAGTACAATGACAAACTCACTTATATTAAACAGAACATTTATTAAACATAAGACGAGTGATATATGACAAAAATATATTTATTGTGGCCATGAATTAAGAATTCCTTCCTAACAAGGGAATTAATTTAGTGGCCAAGGTTATTTTACTTAACTAAAACCATAAATAAAATTATATTACTTGAAATAATAAAATAAATTCTAACTGAAATAAAATAAAATATTAAAAACCTAAACTCATTTCAGCTAGTTGCCAAGGCAGCATTTCTTATTTTTATTTAGTTTAACTTAAGTAAAATAATTAAAACTAAAACTAATAAAAATGACAAAGACACCCAAAAAAGTATTAAAACTTTAACAAAATTTAACATGAAGGTAGAAAATAAAATAAAAAAATTAATTAAAATCTTAAAATAAAATATTAACAAAAACTATATTAGTATCTCAATGATACTAAAATAACTAAAATAACACCAGGCGTGGGAATGAATTCTCACACGTCACGCGCGCTGTGAAGTACAGACTGAATGGATTGTCAACACATCCCACCGCTGTATGGCCAGATGAGACGCAAACTACGCTTTCTCGACTGGATAACCAGTGTTTCGCTAGTGAAGTTTTGATGAATGAAGACTGCAATCAAGTTAAAGACGACTGCGGTGGCGTACAGGAGTCTTACAGTACAGTAAGCACGCATGAGTCCGTTATAATAATGTGTGTATGAGTGCTCTTGACGCACTGATCGCACACTGTATTTATGCACAAGCACAGACATTTCCGTATATTCACGTTGTTTCCACACACATTCACGATAATGTTTTGATTTGTCATGTTTATGTTGCTGTGTTTAGTTATTCTGAATGGATCCGTGTACTGTAGTAGATATGTGTTTAGTTATTCTGAATGGATCCGTGTACTGTAGTAGATATGTGTTTAGTTATTCTGAATGGATCCGTGTACTGTAGTAGATATGTGTTTAGTTATTCTGAATGGATCCGTGTACTGTAGTAGATATGTGTTTAGTTATTCTGAATGGATCCGTGTACTGTAGTAGATATGTGTTTAGTTATTCTGAATGGATCCGTGTACTGTAGTAGATATATGCAATCAGAAGGCGGGTGGTTTGGTTTTTTTTGGCATCTCCATGTGGTCCTGTTCAGTATCGCAACTTGGCTTCTCTAAAGTGTAAAAAAGCTCTTTGCTGTTGAACTGTACACCACACATATATTATGTACACAAAAACTTTTATTTTGGATGCGATTAATCATCTGACAGCACTAGTATATATATATATATGTGTGTGTGTATTCTACAAACACCAGTGGCGGTGGGTAACAGTGTGAGCTTCAGTGATGACTGACACAAGCTGACCTCAAACGGGTTGAGATTGAAGTATGAGGCTCCTGGTCGCAGTAACCTGTCGATCTGCTGTTTGGAGGTTAAAACCGAGTCTCTCTTCTCGATCTGCTTCACCTGAGGAACGAGACACAACCGCAGACCATCACGCTTCTGAGAGAGGCTCTTCTGCTCTTCTATACTTATCAAAATACTGTGAAAATGGTGAAATATTATTAGTTTCAAACAGCTGTTTTCTATGTGAATCTCTGTTAAACTGTAATTTATTTCTGTGATGCGCAGCTGTATTTTCAGCATCATTGCTCCAGTCTTCAGTGTCACATGATCTTCAGAAATTATTCTAATATGCTGATTTGCTGCTCGAGAAACATTTCTGATTATTATCAATGATGAAAACAGTTATTATTTTCATGAGAATCACCCTACCATGGTTTTACCACAAATAAACCATGCGTTTTTGGCTATAGTTAAACTATGGTAACCACAAATTAGCCATGGTTTTGCTACACTAACCATAGTTTAACCATGGTATTTGTAGCAAAACTGTGGTTACACAAATAGTAATCAATACGCCAAAAAACCATGGTTACTACATTTATACTACATTAAAACCTCGGTTAATGTTCGTTTCGTGATCACTTGATCAGTGTAAACACGCACTCATCGCCGTGCTGAGAAAGCACCACTGCATCGAGCAGATTACAGCGGAGTGGCCGGCAGCCGCTGTAGTGACTGTAGTGTTGTCTGTGTAGGGCTCAGAGGGTTCGACACACCACCCGCCCGCGTGTGTTCGTGTGAGCGGAGCTCAGCGCCTCTCGGCCGCGTGTCTTTACTCGCTTTGGTTTATATTGAAGTCTGTGTGTGAGTGTGTTGTTTCTCAGGCTAACCTCTGTGTAGAAGGTCTGAAACGCATCATCGCCGCCGCTACCGCCCGCCGCCATCTTGCTACTAAACCGTCAGCGGAAGTCACGTCACGTGACAAAATTAAAGTCCTCGACTCGCTCTGCAAAAATGCGTTCTTCCTCAGTATTTTTTATTTTTGGCCAGTAAAAACATCTAAACATCCTTAAATTAATATGCACAATTATTGAAATATCTGTCAATGGCATCAGAAAAATACATTTAATTCAAAGGGAAGACAAGACGCCCCCCCCCCCATTAGC